ACACACACACACACACACACACACACACACACACACACACACACACAGTACACAGGTCTATGGCGAGATGGAAACAATGGGCCTCATTCAAAAATGTCTTCTTACGGCCTCCTTTAAAAAAATGTAAGAAAAGAAAATTAGAAATCCACTAAAGTAATTTATGAAAGACGCACCGACGGCTTTGTTGTAGCCACGTGAAGTTCTTCATGAATCAGTATTGATCCTGTTTCGGATGCGTGTTCCACACAATCGTTAGCACATCTAAATGCCCAATAAAACCTGAGAGAGGGCAGCCATCATTACGGCCATGTGCCTCATTTTACTTTTAGTTTGTTTTAATTTACACAAATAAGCTGTCAACCTTAAGCAGCTGAATCAAACTAATCAAATGCCTGCTTTGTGGCAGGGATAAGGTGCTTTGAGAGTCAAACACTTCATTTTCTGCATTCTGGTGAATTTCCATGCACCAATTTATGGTGGAATTGTTTTCTATTTACGAAAATTGGGGGGAACAAAAGCTTATTTGGACAGGTGTTGCCGTGCCTGTCTTCCTGTGTGTGTTTGATGCTAAGAGCATATTAATAATTACAAGTATAATATCCACGGGAGCTAAAGGCGGGGAACTGCTCATTGGTAATTGTTGCGTCACAACTGGCAACTGCTGGTGTTCAGCACAGTAGATAGAGCCACTGAGGTGAGAGGGAAGAGGTTTTGGGGAGGAAAGGGGATAGAAGAGGAAATAAAGGAGACAGTGAGGTGAGAGAGAGGAACAGAGGAGACAACAGCAAAGAAGCCAAAGGAAGCCAACGAGGAGACTCTTTACTCTCTCCGCTGCAGGAACATTGCGCTCCATTTACCACATTAGCCCCAGCTAATTACACACTACTGAATACATTAAGATAACTAATAACCAACAAAACCACTGCGCTCGTGTGTGTGTGTGTGTGTGCAGACCCAAGGCGCTGTGTAGAAGTCATTGGAGGTTGGAGTTGACCACTTTATTCCAACATTTTAGCAAGCCTTTTGGGGATCATTTCCCCCCGCTGAGAACTGGAAGTGTTTGCATTGCCTGGATTGTGTGCGTGTGTGTGTGTGTGTGTTGAGAGAACAGGTCATATGAGGAATATTCCATTTTAGTTCCTCCCCACGGGACACAGCTTCAGAGAGAAACTCACTAACTATGAAATGAGGCTGCACGTCGTGAGGAGCTGCCCTGAAGCACCGAGGAGTGTGTGTGTGTGTGTGCGTACGAGTTTGTGCGTACCAGAGTCCTGAGCCAGCATTCTTCGCAGTGGACGTGCCAGCACTGGATGGAGGTGAGCGGCATCGTGTAGGAGTCCTGGGAACCGAGAGAGAGAAGAGGGGGGGATGAAATTACACCAAATTTGACCAACACACACATGCCAGGTAACCACCAAAACAACACTGCACGTTCCCTGACCGACATCATCAAACCACTAACCATCGAAACGACACAGCCAGCAGCCACAGAACCACTGAGCAAGGCAGCATGTTGGGTGGGGTGGGATGGGGAGGGGGGGGGGGCAACTGAACCGGCAACCTGCAGGTCACTGACACATACACACACGGACACGATATCGGCAGGCATCGAGCAGAGACGGAGGGAGGCAGGCAGAGGAGGACAAGATGAGGGAGAGAGAGCCATGAGTGAACCCCATCCGATGAGCGCCCTTTTTTCTTTTCCTCTCGAAAAGAACTGAGAGATGAGGGAGGGAAGAGGGGGAGGAGCGGAGGGAGTGCCTTACCCTCCGTAAGGGCTGCGGGAGGAGCCTCTTTATGCCGCTGCCGTAGCCACCGATCACAAGGCCCCTGTACAGGCAGTACAGGCCGAGGGGGAGGGACTTAGGCTGCCTCTCTCCGACCTTATTGGCCAGTGGCCGGGGCCCTGGCCACACCCCTAGGCTCTTGATCTCTGCGCCTGACTGGATTGCAGGCTTCCTCTGTGTGGAAGGGAGGGGTTGGGGTGGGTGAGGAAAGGGAAGGGGTAGGAGGGGGGCGAAAGGTGGCAGCTAATCATAAAGGCGGGGTTTGTACTGATCGCGCGCGCACACACACTGCGGTGCGACACACACGCACACTCGACACAAACACACACATATGGGAGTGCATACGGCTTGGACAGACGATGAACAAACTGCTTTCTGCGTTCGCACCGACTTTGCTTCGTCAAATAACGAGAAATATCAATGCTGGTGACTCGGATAAGTTGTCGATAGGAGACTTGTAGAAAAACTCTCCCACACTGGGTAAAGGTGCGTTCAATGTCTTTTGGCTTAGGAACCCTTTGGTTCGTGCTGGGATACTGCAACATGTAGGGATGTCTTCATTACCCACTGCCTTCCACAGACACAACGCTGGGTGTGTGTGTTTGTATCTATTTCTGTTGTCAGTTAATCTGTGCATTACGTTCTAGATTAAATGAGAAGTCGTTTGGGCCACAAAATGTCAGAATATGTTTGTTTTTTTAAATGCACTTGAGAACTTCCTGAAGCCCAATGTGACATTTTCAATTGTCTTGTTTTTTATTTGTGACCCAACAGTCCAAAACCTAATATATTCAGTTTTCTATCACAGAAGACTAATATACTCACATTTGAGAAGCTGAAACCACAGAATATAGATTTTGTTTTTCTGCTGATCAGTTCCAACTACAACATTGATGGACTTCTTGTTGCAGCTTTAAATGGTTTCATTGCCCACTTAACTTCCGTTGACAATGCCAATACAGGAATGTGTTTACGGTGCTCCTTATGTACTTTCATAGTCAATATAGATTATTATCAAGAAGAACAAACTAGCAATGGAGAACACCGACATGATGACACTGGCTAGCTGAGATGTATGGCTTTGATTCATGTCCTGTTTACAGTAGCTCTTCCTTGGTTACTTAGAGTTATGTGTATTTTCTCTATTTTAGAAAAGATTACATTATTATAAGTTAACAAAACAGGGCCTAAGATGACCAGTAGATGGGGGTAGAAATCCACTGATGAGACCAAACCCCAGCACGGAGGAGGAACTTGAGCCAACTTGGCTGCAGCAGGAGAGCACTTGTTTCCTTCTTGCATACAGCTACCTGAGCGTTGGAAGGTTACAGTGGCTAATAACTCGAAATGTTTCGCCGGGGGGGGGGGGGGGGGGGGGGGGGGGGGGGGGGGGGGGGGAAAAAGAAAAAAGAGAAGAAAAACACGCGGTGGGGG